ATTCATATCGGCCAACAACCGTCACCCGAACTACTTCAAGTCCGGTGATCAAACTTTACAGTTGAACAGCCTTGAAAATTTCCCTTGCATCAATGATAAATACTTCTTTTTTTTATTTCTTTGTTTCTTTGGATCGCGGCATCGCAGCATAAAATACATTTGTGTGAAGAAGTAACGGCGCGTTTGTCGTCGTTTGATGATGGGCATCTCATAAATACCAAATAGCATTAGCTTTTCATGATAAAGCCATGAACCGATCATTTTTCCTTGTATTTCGCAAGTTTCCCCCATTTCATTAAGATACTATCATTTTATTATGATACCGGAACGTTAGAAATGACGAAACACGGCTGATTTACTCCCATTTAATCATAGTTTTTCTCTTTCATAATACCAGTAGAATTCTTTTTTTTGCTGAAATTCTTACAAACTTGCAGTAGAACTTTGGTTCTTGGGGCTTTTTTTCGTTGGAATTTTTCGAAGAAAAAAAAAACCCACCATGATCCAATTCTATCATTTGGTGGATATTTCCCGGCCGTTTCCCTCACTCTTCGTTTTGTTAATTCTAGTTTCTTTTTCTTCCATTTTCTTCGCTTTGTGTTCGTTTTATGCTATCAGCGAGCTTATTCCGTTTGTGTTGCCACTTGGTTTGGCTGGCTGACGAGCATGTTCATTGGTATGTGTCTTGTGTGTACCACTCTTTTTCTAGAACAAAGTTTAGCTTCGTCAACGTTGATACCAAAACGTGTGTTTGTCGGTATCTGTGTGTGTGTGTGTGTGTGTACCAGAGTGAATTGAGATGATGAGCGTATATATCGTATGACAACAAACACTCTCGCATTTTTGGTTCCATTGTAAGCAAGGACAACCAGTCTAGCTTTTTCATTTTGGCTTTAACCGCTTAGCGTGGTCGCACATACGCGTTGAGCGCGTAATGATAGCATCTCGCATGACTGAGCCTGACTTGATTCGGTGGCGGCGGCGACGCATGTGTGTACCATTGGCACGTATATATTATGTATGTGTATGTATACTTGTGCATCACTTTTCTTGGTCGATTTCGGACGTTTGATGCTTAAAATATTTTCAGCAACACATTTTGAGTTATGAGTTGGTTTTTCGGTCTTGATAGTGTAACATCGTGTGTTAGTTTGCACATATTCTGTAAGCATATTTTGCAATCTTTTTCTTCTAAATATTCTAACCATCTAACATAAGGTGACTAATTTGGTGATGTTATTTGTTTGATTGTTTATAAGCGTATTCTTTCGCTCTCTTTATTCCAACTTTTGGGACCAGTTGAGAATGGAGACGAAAATCTAATACATTAAAAGAAATATGAGGAAAATCAATACGAAATGAGGAAATAATTGAAATCGGAGATGCCGAACCGCAGCAACAATAATAATAGTGTGATTAATTGACGATTTATTCTATGGTTTTAGCTACATTTAATTGCCAATCAATGTTTGATTCCTTCCTTTTTTGTATTTGGCCTAAAATTGGCTGAGAACCGAACAACTGCAAAAAGCTGCTTAATTTCAATTGCAATTTCATAATGTTTTTCCTTTGTTTTGTTTGGTTTTTTTTTCTTCTGGGTTTGAAAGTCATCGTCGAGAGTCAAAGTAAAAAATATTTCGAAAGAAAAAAACGGGAAACGAAATGAATTTGATGAAGGAATGAGAAGTTCAGTTGTTACTTTATTGCATTTTCGGTTTAAATTATATAATTATCGGTTCAGTGATAGTTTAGTATAACTAAACGTATTTCCAATTGGCGATGTGTAAATGGTGTGCAAGCGCACAAACGTACACTTTGGTCAAGACACATGAAAAACACGTAAAGGAAATACACACAGAAAAAATGCAAGAAGCAAAAGAAGACAAGAGAGAGAGAGAGCGAAACAGCGAAGCGCAAATTAAAACCAGTATCGGCTGCATAACGAAGTGCAGCAAACCTGTGGCTGCACACTTATGCTGTTTGTGTATGTGTGTTGGTTGCTTTGGCACTTGATTTTTCTTGTGATTTTATATACATAGTATGGAATCGCATTATTAGTTAACATTCATCGGTACATACACCGAAAATGAAAATGAATGAACGAATGAACGAATGAACGACCGACCGACCGACCGACCGGCCGAACGAACAAGCGAAAAAAAATATATCTGCTGCTAATATACTCTCGATTTCGATTGATAGCCATGACCTACTTTCCTTCCTCCGAGTGTATCAATTCATTATTACGGTATTTTCAATAATTTACACATTTTTGTTCAATGGCTTGTGTGATTATTTTTTTCCATATTCATCATTTTTTCCTCGTCAAAAATCAATTTTTTTTTTCATTTTCTGCTCTTTCGTGTGGCCAATGCATTTTCTTTACCTGCGCGCGCCGTTTACGTTGACGCGCACTTACTCACACACATTTGCAGCAAAGAAAATGCGAAAAAAAACCGCCACACATCAAAAAAAGAAACTCGCTTCGTAAACGATAGTCCAAATACCGCAGAATATTGCATTTAAATAAATAGTCTTGTGTTTAACGAGTCAAGTACATTGGTCTATTTGTTAAGCGCTTGTTTAATCGAGACTGTTCTTTTTAAACCTTAGTCATAGCAAAATGGCAAGTGGGTCACTTTTGCGGCAGTAAATATTTGTGGCGCAATCGCGTTTCGATCGAAGCCAATTTCAATGCATTCTAATGCGATTCTTTACGTGGCACATCGGTGGATGGGGCTATGCCGTATACCATTTCAATCGCAAAGTGCATCCCAATCTAACAGGGTTAAATGCCGATGACATTCACATGAACAAGTCGAAAACTATTGGAAGAATCCACCAGCCAAATTGCATCACATAAGCACATTGAATACACTTGATCTCATTAACTGTACATGCATGGTGTGTCGATCGTGTTTTGAGGAGGCGAAAAAAAAACGATGTAAAATCAAAAAAAATTGTAAATTGCGATAGGTTTTCGATTCGAATCAAACGGAATCAACAAAAACGCAATTAAAATGTGCTTACTCAAACTTCAATTTTCCCCGATTGAGTCAAGCTTATAGGAAATAATAATTAATGCCCATCAAAAGTTTATCATGTTGTTTTCACATCGGAAGATTATGTATGTGTGTGATTGATTTTGGATTGAGTCACGTTTTCGCATCGTTCGATTCACTAAGCAGCATTCAAATATGGAAATTATTAGAAATTTGCATTCCTTGCCTACTTTTATATCCCCATTCGGCACGAATGCGTTCACAATCATCCGTCGACAATTGAATTAGTCAACAATTATAAAAGTGTTGACGAATTTGTTGTCATTGCATTGCGTACATTTGCATTCGGTAGTCACACCTGTGTCACATTGTTTACACTTTATGATCGGATATGATTCTTGTCGCCAATCATCAATTCACATATGATTTTAAGCATTTATTCCGCCGAAAAAAAAGATTACATGCATTTGGAGCATGTTCGCTGAATATATAAGCCAAAAAATGCGCGAAAAATACGCAAATCAGTCATGCAAGGGGGAAAAAAGAGAAAATAATGAAAATTATGGATATTTCACAAATGAGAGTGCGGTAACGGCCGTCCACTAGACGATGTGTTATTTGGAATCGATGTTGTAAATTTTATTACATTCTGCAAGCGTGTGAAGTGCTCAAATATCGATTGGAACATTCAACCGAAATACCGACGTAACAATTAGCAATTTTGTGTGACATCAAAAAGAAGTAAGGAAATCACCAAAGTCAACGATTTGATATTAATCTTGAATTTGAATTGCTAATCGTATCGGTTTTGCCCGCGATCGACGCGCTTTTGTTGCTTCTGGTCAAGTGTGTGTGTGCGTGCGAGCGCTTGAATACTCCACCGCTCACACAAAAACAAGAAAATCAATCTATAAAAAAGTCAATAAATGTCGCGGATGATAGTGTTGATGAAAGAGCCAATGGATAGAGAGGTAGAGTGAGGGACCGTGTGCGATTGTTTCATTTTTGATTCGGATTATCGACCGTTTTTTTCCTCATTCCATCTGCTCGACATCACTTGTTGAAAATCTGTCGATCGTAGCGCACAGATCTAGTGACAATAGTCAATAGTCAATAGGCATTGCGAAAACTCATCTTATCTAACCATATATATATTCCGCAGAAGGAGAAACATTTTAAATAGTCACTTTGAATCTGAACTATCAACAAAGTTTTTTCAATTGGAGATCAAAACGTGCGTAACGGTGACATCATTATTATTTTTAAATCATCCAATAAATACTTACAGTTTAAAGGCTCATCAAATCCCAGATATCGTTAAGTGCATCAATTAAACGAACTGCGTTGCATTTGTCGCTTCATATTCATAGTTTGTTTGTCGTTCGTCGTTAACATACGGCAGCATTTGTTGTTACTACGGTGAAATCTGAGCAAATAAGAATGTCAAGCGGTTGCTGTAATCTCAACCTTTTGCTATACGTTCTACACGTAACCGAATCCACTCATTCATACGGATTTTTATTTGTTTCCATGATCTTTTTTCTTTCATTTTCAATTCCGTTTATTTTTTCTTCTTTGCGTCATTTTCCCTCCCAAACTACCATCCGATTCTAGTTGTTATGTTCAAGAAGTTTCGTTTCTATATATTTTTTTTTCGTCATACAAGAAGAAAATGATTTAAATTGTATAAGAATAACAGTAATAATAGCCAATAAATAAAATTAAAGAAAATGACTGCATATTTGGCTTCGATTCGAAGAGTTTCAATCGGTGTGCTTGTGTCTGGCCCCCGTGTTGTACATATTGGCACAGCATAGTATCATTTCGGGTTTTTTTAGGTGTCGTTGTGTATGTTCATGCGTTTTTTGCTCTTCAAGGCCACCGCACTTTAACCGAATGGTTTTGTGTTAAGATACATATCATACCATACCACATTCATGTTTAAAAACTGAACCGTTGACGGTGTGTTCCGTTGCTGTGTGCATTGAAAAAAAAAACACACAAATCTGTGATAAGTTCACTACACGCAAAGGCAACAACAGCAACGAAAAAAAAATTGTTTCTTTTTGGAAAAAATATATATGTGTGTATTTTATATATATACAAAAAAAAACGCGTCGATGAACAGAAAAAAAATTGCGAAAAGTGGTTATACCGTGGTTGGTATTAATGGTGAAAACAAGTATACAGCTGAAATTTGGCGTAAAGTACTTTATTTATATTTTCTTCATTAGTATTTAATTTGCCTTCTTTCGAATCAGTTCAAAAAAAAAAAAATAAACATGCTAGTGCAGTACTGGTGCGACTATTTTGCACTTGTCGTTTCTAGAAAAGAATCATACACTTCCAACCACGTCGAAAATAGGCGAAAAAATTGACGAAAAATTCACTTCGTTTCAATTAGAAAAAAAAAATAACCGCCATAAAGAGAAGAAAAATTTGCGGTATACATATCTATTATATTTGTGTGTTAAAATGCAAAAACATTCTCATAAGTTTCCTATTTTTACAAATAGAGACTTGTAATGCGACTCATTACAGACTTTAAAACACATCTTCACATTAAACCTTACTTTAGTCTAATTATATATGTAGGTAGCGATAGATAGAGAGAGAGAGATAGAGAGAGAGAGAGAGAGAGAGAGAGAGGAGCAGTGACATACTCATCAATTTGTCGTTCTAGCTTCTATTCTCCTCTCCATAAAAGTATATTCGTGTAATAAATATTATTTTCTTTATATCATTTTGTGTGTATGTTCTTTTCTTGAATCTTGCAGAAACGAGTTTAACGCAGCGAGCAAAATTGAGCAGAACTAACAACAATAACAGCACAACACACAACACTGAAGTCGATTGGAGTGCTTCGTTCGTGGATTTTCCTGAAAAGTGATTCCGAGAGTGTGTAGCATCGTCATTAACTGAACATACGTTGAAGCTGACAGACTCATTCAACGCATACTGTGACACACACAGCCGTAACATTTGTTGTTATTATTATTTGTTTTTTAATCGCGCGCGCGTCTTATATCAATTGAATTGTTTTCTATCACATTGAACGATACGGATTTTCCAACCGATAGAAAGAAAAAGAATTTAATTGTGACAAAGATATTGTGTCATGTGCTCAGTGCATCTGATAAACACTGTCGTAGAATTATATACTTATTTTTCAGCAGCTTTTTGTTTTCCGGTGTTCGGTAGCATTGTTTAGAATTGTTGTTGTTTTTTTTTAATATTATTTTTCGTTTCCACTTTGAGTGTTTGCTATACAACCGATTCAATCCTAATTCTGTTTAGATTGATTCAATATGAAACAGTACTTGCTGGTTGACAACGCAAAACAGTTCAGTGCATCAGAATCCAACTAAAGAAACGGTTGGAAAATAATGTGCACAATTATTTACAACATAATTTATTGCGAATTACACGAGTTGAAATTCATTTTATGTAAAAAAAAATCGGTCTTGTAAACAATATAAGCGATAAAAATCAAAAAAAAAAAAAAAAAAACAAAGTAAAATCAAAAGGATAAATCAAAAGTTTTTTTTTATGTGCCAAAAAGTTCAACGCAATTCACTTACAAATCAAGTTCGGCTAGAATACGGAAACCATTTGTGAACGTTCGGGTTTGGTTCAAGAAACAAACAAAGAAACAAAAAAAACGAAAATAGTGTTTGAATACGCGGTAAATTGTGTGTGTCTTTGGGAAGAAAAAAAGAAGACAAACGAATTAATTTTACAATTCACATCGATTACTAGTTGCAATAAGGATATTTCTACCATACAAAAAGCATTCAAATGGCGTCCGGATTCGTGAAAATTGCCATGGATGAGTTTTACTCACACAATCCCAACAACCTAACCGGATTGGTTCAACGGTATTGGACGATGGTCGAAGACGATGTTGCAGGTAATATCAATTTATGATCGCATTTCTATCTCATTCTCCCTATCCACTCTTTCTCTCTTGTTCTCTTTTATTCTTGCGATCGAATTCTTATTGGTCGCTTGAATTGATCGTACGTGCACGATGGCTCGTACGAACAAACGGATTGTTTGCCATTTTCACGACGATGCAATAAAATTGCACTAACGACGATGTACTTTTGGACAAGTGCACTGTGCATTTATTTACAATTTATTGGAATTTTGTTCATTTAACATCTAAAATTGGTATTAAAAATTATCAGCTTTGAATCAAGCGCAATCAAACTTGAGGTCTATGATCATATATATATATATATAATTCGTTTATATCGAGGTTATTGTTGTTTTTTTCCGTTGCACAACACACAAGTACGCGCCCTCGCCCGTGCTTAGTTATATATGTATGAACAAAAAAAAAAACATTCCATTTGGCAGAAGAACAATTCGAAAATGCACACAAATAAGTATACACCAAAATCGGCAACGGTTATTTAATTGTAATTGCTATCAAGTCATATTTTTGTCTGAAAAGTTCGTTAAGCAAAAAAAAAGAGCATAAGAACTGAAATTCTACTAATAGAAAAGCATTGGCGCAAATTTTATATGCTCGGTTGCACAGATTCTTGATTTTTTTTTATTAAACGTATGTTATTTATGAGTAATTTTTTTTTTTCTTCGTTGTTTTTTCTTCTCTCTACTGCGTGTACGTACCGATCATTATTCGCGATTCATGCATTTACACACAACAGCTCACAACAAGAACGAACGCATAAAGCTTTCAGTGTTATTAATATGATGGTAAAATTAAATAAAATTTATAGACGGCATTTTATTTTGCTGCTCATTGTAGCTGTGCGCCATGTAAAATCGACAAAACACCAGCACAACAAGAAAAAGAAAAACATCGAGCTTTTTTCTGCTATCGAGATTCAACAATAATTTACGTAAATGCGAATACATTTTGCGATTGTGTTCGTTGTTTTATTTTTTTATTGCTGTGTTTGTGTGTGCGTTTTTTTAGTCTTTTTCCATGATTTTTAATTTTTCTAGACGAAAACATCCCGCGACGAAATTGAGCATTCTTTTGGTTTCAATCAAAACGTTTAATTTTTTCAGTATCAGTACTTGTAAGCAAAACCATATGATTATACGATGATTATAATGATTTTTGAGTCATTGCCATTTCAACAAAACAAAGAAGCGCGCGCGATCACTGCGCGGTACATTGATGAAGAAAAAAAAAACAACAACAAATTTGTGCTCAGAAACATTGAAATTTGATTCGGTGTCATCGTTATTTTCAAGATTTTGTTTTTTCTCTGTCTGCCGTGTGTATTCCATTGTCTATCTGTACGCGCGCACATGTAGATACAAAGACAATACCATTCTTCGTGCATTCTCCTCGCTCAATTACTGTGCCAATGTGCGCGATTATGTTTAGCGCACGATTTGTTTTTATGCTACTGTGTGCTATTACTGACAAATTAACTACCAAACAGCGCTACCATAAACCGACCACATAATAGAAAGACCAATCTATATGGTTAAAATCCATGAGTTTATTTTTAATTCATCACACCAGTTAAATGCCATGCGTTTGGGCTTTTTATTAATTTATGTAGATTATTATTTCTTAGTTGCTGTCACTGTTATTGTCTCTTGTTGCTGCTGCTGCTGCTGCGCTACCGCGCACTCAGCACTCTCATGGCTGTGTCTATGTTTCTCCGTTTGTTTTGTCCGCTCATTGTATCAATTATAATATTAAGACTAATGCGAAGCAAAAGAATTGTCGTCTCTGATTATGGATACGTTCTTGCATTGCTCTGTGTGACAGTCGTTCATGGTCACACTAATTAAATAAAATACGTAAGCCCAAAAAATGATGTTGAGTTTCTGTTTTGTCGCTACTTTAAATTTTTTTTTTTTAATTTTGGGCAAAAACGCTTCAACCAAAATGAAGTACCAAGTTCAACAAGTATAACAACGACATCACAAAATATGTGTAGCAAATTACAAGTTGAATGAGTGTGTAAAAGACGAATGAACAAGAAACTCGAATATTATTATCAGACAAAGGTAATGTTGTCTGTGTACATGCATGTGACAGCCACAACAGCGGCAACAGTAGCAGTAGCAATAATGTACATAGTGCGCAGCGTACAAGACACGAGAAACAATAAGATAGCAATACAATGAACATATGATTCAGTCATTCAATTGTTTTATTTATGAGAAATTAACAGAGAGGTGTTCTATTTTAATTACCTTTGTGTACTTCAAATTCATAATCTTCTGGTTATCGACGGTGTCATTGTAACTGATAGTATTTTTAGAGAGAGAAAAAAAACAAATGCGGCAAATATCTCGCAATAAAAAAAAGACACACAATTGCACCAAAAAAAAAAATACATGAAAGGTCAAATGCATTCTCTTGATAGTTATGGGAGAGCTGGCCAATCAGCCAGCGATCGCATTATGCATATATATGCAATGTGATTTTTGTGTCGCCGCGATCATGTTATGATGCGAATCGAGAAAATGGCAAACAGTTCAAGTTTAAAACTTATCACGTAATACACCTTGTATTTGGTATTGAAAATAAAATCTGGTTTTTTGTTGTTGTTGTCGTCGTCGTCGTCGTCTTTCTTCATTCCATTTCAATTTTGTTTTCTTTCTCATCTCTTCCCCATTATTTTATGATTGCAGATCCAAGAGCGAAAAATTATATGTTCATGAACAATCCACTGCCAACCCTTGGAATGTGCGCCACATATTTAGCATGGGTTTTGATCATCGGCCCCATTTATATGCGAGATAGAAAACCAATGGATATTAAAAATCTTATTATATTCTATAATGCATTCCAAGTAGCTTTAAGTGCATACATGTTCTACGAGGTAAGTGTGCTCTAGAGCTAACACGACCAACCACTTGTCGTTCACTTTTGCTGTTGTTGATGTTGATGTTGATGTTGTTCGTCTTGATCTCTTCACAAATCAACCCACTATTTCCTCTTCACTTCCCTCTCATTTCCATCAATTTCATTGAAATCATAACTGGCGATGGTTACGCACGTTGTTTCGTTTTTATTCACTATTTCTTTTCTTATTATTATTATTTTTTTTCTGATTCAAATCCTAAGTCCCAATCCCAATATCATTATCTCCGTCTATTATGGATTGTTAATTCTATCGGAAATATCAAAACCATAATAGAAGATACACTTGTCGACGACCCTGAAGAATATATGACCCAAGTGAGCAATGAACGTTGCTCTTGAGCCATAAAGCTGTTCTACGTTTTTCTTTCCTTCTCTTTTTTAAGTTCCATTTTCATTTTTAAAACCATTTTGTTGTTGTTGTTTGTGAACTTTTATTGTGGACGAATTGCCGATCAAATGACGTTGACATCCACGCGACTGGAACGACCGTATGTTTCACGCAATTAAACTAACTTTCAATTTATGTCTGTTTGTTTCTTCTTCTTCGCTTGTTTTGCTTTTTTTTAAACAGCATCTAGCGGCTGGCTGGTGGAGAGATTACAGTTTGAGCTGTCAACCCGTGGATTATAGTGATTCATATCAGTCTCGAAGGGTAAGTGAATTTTTGTTATGCCGTAGACGTTTTACCGTTTTTTTTCTCGTTTAAATTTGCATGATTCCGTGTATGAATATTCACTCATAACGAATTCACATTTCATTTTCACGATGTCCCGATATTTTTCCCTCTTTTGTATAATACACAAGATGACGTAATTAAAACGATAGCCGCCAAGTATATATATTCTCATGAGAAAAAAAACATCAACTCATCATGATTACAAATGCTTCCGAACAAAAAAAAATGTTTACAATGAGGTGACACTTCAAAATGATTCTTTTGCTCTGGAAAAACCAGCCGAAAAATCTATTATTTGCCTCCTAACAAAACGAACTGCCATCAAATCGGTATCAAATGTGCAAATTCAAAAGATTCTTTACTCAATGCAAAAGAATAGTCACGATTGATTGATAGAAAAAAAATAATTGAAATCCAAGTACAAATTCATCATACGCTAAATATTTTATTTGCCGTCCATTTTTTTACCGCTTCGCAAATACATATATGCTGTGCAGAAAGTAAATATTATCGCACGCAAAAATGTAAACATGAATTATATAACGATTCGAAGGAGCTTAGAATCTAAGCTTAACAGCAACACAGCAATTACACGGAATTTGGAGGTCGTTCATTTTTTTCTGCTGCTGCCGCATATGTAATACATACGTATGTATGTGGGTCTATTTCCTTTCTGAAACGAACGTTTGAGTGGTAAAAAAGTGGCTGCGAAGAGCTCGTGTGCACGAGTAAATAACAAGAATTAACCGAACTCTACGAACAGCCGATCGTGTATATACGTACACATTTGCTTTCACTGACAGAGTCACCGTGAACTGAATACTTTACCAGCAGCCAACACACAACATGCATGCAATGCTAGATAGATCGATGTAGTTGATCGTTCCGTTATAGTGCATGCATTCAATCGTTGTTAATGCTTGATGATGGATTCATTCTTTTTTTCGCAATTATAGCAAAGTGGCGTTCAATTCATTGCAAATAGGCTTGTACGTGTTTTTTTTTCCTTTTTAATTTCATCTAAAAATTGAAACGTGCATGAGAAAATTACCATGGTTTTTGGTTTCTGGTGAACTCGATAGCTTGACTTTGTATGTATACAACAGTTGTACCTTCAATCTTGTCGCTCACTCAATGTGTGAATTTGCACTGCAATCATTTTTGATGGCATGATTTATCGCACAAAGAATATGTTTGCTTACTTACTTGCTTGCTTGCTTGTGCGTCTACCTTGTCAAAACGATGACGATCTGACTCATTTTATGCCGTCGACCGAACTTTTCTATGAATTATGATCTAATGATGTGTATGTTTATTACACATTCTACATTACACTGAAAGATCATTGTGTATTTTAAATGGATTATGTAATTGTTTGACTTTCGTTTCACGCCCCGTACACACTTTTTTTCTATTTATTTATGTGGTTTTTTTCTTTATTTTTCTTTTCATCTCTGTGTCTCCTATTCTCCGGTCCCGTGTGTTTGTATTCTAGATGTTAAACTTGTGCTATGTGTATTATTTGTCAAAATTGACCGAATTCGCGGACACAATTTTCTTTGTACTGAAAAAGAAGAAGTCGCAGATGACCTGGTTACATTTGTACCATCACTCATTGACCCCACTTGAAGCATGGATCTTAGTCAAATTTTTGTCAGGTAACGTATTAATCGGTCAATATTAACCACTTTTTGTTTTAAGTTATGTTCACTGACTTGAAATTTCTTACATAAAATTGAAAATAAAAAGTAGAAAAAAAAACAGCAAAACAGCAACAAATTCATTTTATGGCATAGAAGAACTGGTATTAATCGAAAGTCACTCTTTTGACGGGCGTTTTTTCTTTTTGACATTTTACAGGTGGAAATGCAACATTCCCGAACATTTTGAATAAGTAAGTTCAAGCATTTTATTGATTTGATTTTAGTTTTTATTATTATTTAAATCGACCACTTTCATAGACGTCTGTCAAAATCGTTTCAAAGTGTCTGATGAATATGTTTTTTTCATTGTTTTTATCTTACATTTTTTATATTTTTCTCATTTTTTTATCGTTTACAATAGCTTCGTTCACATCTGTATGTACAGCTATTATATGCTATCAGCAATGGGTCCGCAGTTCCAGAGATTCCTCTGGTGGAAGCGGTACCTTACAGAAATTCAAATCGTAAGTATTTTCATGTGTTTTGATCATATTTAAGGCTAAATGTAGTATCTATACCGAGTACGGAACGAATTAAGTGTGAGCGCTAAAAATGTGAAGCTCAATGAAACAGAAGACTTGAATTTTTTCATAGAAAAATGTATGAAAAATTGAAACGACGAACCTCATTAACACGAGCGCGTTCTCCAACATCCACTTGCTGTTGCCAAGCTATTATTCGAATTATGTGATTAGCTCCAAGCCTCAGTATGCTGTGCAAATTGGCCAGAAATTATGTCCGTCTCTCCCTCTCTCTCTCTCTCTCTGTTTGTTTTTCTTCAATTCGCTAGTTTGATCATATAGAGTTACTATATTATGTACATCGTAATTGGATTTCCACTTTTTGAAAAAAAAAAAATTGAACTTCGTTCTGCATGAAGCACGAGCAACAATAAGTTTCATCTTGTGATGAATAAATACTTGATTTATTGGGTCATTCACAAATATCGCAATGTTCCCTTCGCTTTATATGTAGATATTTTATTCAATTTTTAAGCGATCAAACCAACTTAAAGCTATATTCAATTGTGTGTGACTTGGTCAAAACTATTACCATGCTGAAGATTAATGCTTTAAGTTTTTTTTTCTGGGTGTTTCTCATTTTATTCTCTCTTTTTACTGACTTTTTCGTTTCTGTCATTTAGGCTCAGTTCATCTTGTGCATCGCACATACAATTCGGGCTTTGTGCACTGACTGCGGTTTCCCGTCATTCGTATCGGCATTACTCTTACTGAACGCTTCCATATTCTTCGTGCTATTTATGAACTTTTATATTCAAACATATAAAAAACAATCGACGCTAGAAAAAAAGATTGACTGAACATTTATGATTATAATGTAATTTGATTTATGATATTTATAATTATAAAAAAAAAAATTTAATAAATAAAACTTTTATTCTACGTGAAAAAAAGAGACGAGAAAAAAAAACCATTACAATGTAGTTTTATTTATGGTGTTAGTTTTAATGCATAGTAGATAAAAGCGTTATTGCAAATGGCTAAACTGGCTTTGAAACCGAGAGAAGAGAGAAGAAAAAAAAACGTTAGCAAACAAGTAAACAAAGGTCCAACGTATGTTTGTTTATATAGTAGATATGATGCAATGCTTGAAATTCATGATCATACTAGGTAAACGGAATGAATTATGAGGCATTTTGTTTTTCGTTCAATAACACAAACGACCAATGATGCCGAAAAATACAAGACACACCGTAAGTGATATATATATATATATATCTCTGTATAGTATCATATGATAATAGCACTTATCATATAACTGTCCGGTATCCATTCACTCTCAAAGGCTATACAAATGCAATGCAATTAACTGTCGTATAAGTACTGTTGTGACGAACGTGGTTGCGCGATTGTGATTTGTTTTTTTTCTCCTTTGCTATCGTTTATTTTCTTTCCGCTTTTGTATTCCATCGGTGAAAATGAATAAGAAGAAGTAAAAGTCAATCGAAATGACTTATTAAAAAGGTTTTGAACTTGACAGCGAAAATAAAAGAGTTCACGGGATTTAAATGCATTTAATCAATGTCTATAAGTACGTCGTGCGGTCGGTGCCGTGGCGATGTACGTGATATTATTGTTGTAATTGTCGGCGCGGTTGACTCTATGGGGCTAAAAGTACGTCTGTTACATTTACGTACGCATTTACACAAACACACAGTTCATCGCATATCGCTCCGCACAAACAGCCCAAATTACTAATGTGAATTTTTTGCAAATTCGTCGGCGTTGTTTCTTCTACGTACGTTTTATTTGTTTTTCTCTTTACTTAATTCGACTTTGATACATGCGATTTGTTTTCTACGTGATTTCTTGTCAAACAACTGACTTAGTGTGGCGGCATAATGCAATAGCCGCTCGCGTCATACGCTAAGCGCAAGCGCAATACGTATGTGCGCTAATTTAAATAAAGTCAGTCTTAAGTCTACA